CTCTATTTTTTGCTTCGGTGTACTAATCAAATGCAATTTTCAGTGCAGTGTGTGTCTGTGTTTTAAATGGATAAAATGCTGAAACTTTATTAGCACTTTATTGTTTCCCTCTGCTGAAGTCCACTAATAATGTTAGTCAAGGTAGCTTTTGCGAAAAGCTTATTTAGTTTTAGGTGACCATTTTTACCCTCTGTCTGACACTTGAATTTAAGTGATTTTTTTTACTTCTGTACCTTTAAGTCTTCTGCATGCAAATGCTATGGGGTTCCATTATACATCTTGTTAATGTTTCCAATGATTTTAGTTGCTTAGCTGGGCACACGACCCTCCAAAAACAGGCTCATGGAAACTCATTTCCACATCTAGGTTTGTTTTAACCAAATAGCGTGTGTCATAAATGCCATGTGACTAATATATTTTTTAATAACGCTGATGGAACAAAAAACCCATACACGTTCCCATACCCTTCAAGAAGCGATGGTTCATTTCATGCTTTTAAAGAGCTCTCCAAAAATATCTACTATCATATAATGAATAATTTATGATTTTCTGTTTGGTCAGAATATGTAGCAACATTTTAATCACGGTAGAGTGAGATTTGGTGTACTTACAGCTTCCACCAGGAGAGACTAACTTGACTATTCTACCAGACAACCCTTGGGCTAAACTCTTTGCGCAGGCGTACTTCCTATTAGTGTTCCAGTTTTCCATGATATGACCCTTTTAATATTCATGAAAATAAGGTTATACTTTATAAGCCATAAGTAGAAACCTTCTCCTCTAAGCATAGGCAATCATGTATCCTGGCTCTCTCAGCGTAGAGTCTGTGGCAGAAATCTGCTTTCCTCATTTACCACGGTTGGGAAAGATTAGCACATGGGTCTGGGCTGGTTTTAAAGCGCCATCATTGTCTCCATGTAGACTGGGAATCTGCTGCCAAACCTTCCGACCAGACAACCAGCCATCCCTCTCTTCTACTTGTTGCCTTGGAGACCAGTGAAACCACAGGTGCTTGTCGTCTGCTCCTCCTCTATCTCCTGTAGCGAGGGGTCGTGTGGTTCTGGCAGGCAGGTGAGCTGGAGCCATACCCGGATGCCGTGCCGGAGCTTGTGAATGATGTGCGTCAGTCTGTGATGTTGTTTTGCAGGCGTGTTGATAGCTAATTGAGGGCAGATGGAAGACTGGTAGGGGAAGTTATGAATGAAGTCATGGGGAGTGTATTTGAATTACCCTGCACCCCGGGTGGAAACGGCACGCTGGGCCGATGGCTCCTTGAGCACTGTGAAAAACACAAAAATACACTCAAACGGGAAATAAAGTTGCTTCCCCCAACCATTTGGCAATTACAAGCTTGTCGGCCTGTTTAATCAAACCTACCCCTAATTGCCGTGAGTGGTGTGTCGGCAAACACTGTCAATCACCGCAATGGCGACTGTTCTGTAACTACGATAATATCAGAGCGCTTTCATCATCCCGTCTCACTTATTTTTGTGCTTAATACGAGAGCCGAGATCAAAGACACACGTGTTCAATTTCATGCCTTGTGCGAGTTGTGTTTTTTGGTAAAGTGAAATGTGGCTCTGGAAGCCCCTGATGGAGGGCAGACAGCTTAATTAGGTGGAGAATGGCTTCTTTGATCTAAAAATATATGCCAGTGTTGCCTGTTGAGGCAGTTTTAAAGGTGCCTCGGTGTTCACTAGACAGCGAGGGTCTCGAGTGCAAGGTCTAATCCTCCACCTTGCTGTTCAGTTTCCTCAGTGCTTTGCAGATGTGTCGTCATTGATCATATACAATATGTTCCAATATACGCATGCCATTACTTTGAAGATTCGCGAGAGCATCAGGCTAATCTGAGTGTTATTTTTTTAATCCACTTTTACAATTAACATGCAGTATTCGGCATACACTTTACTCGTGAACTTTTTCTCCACAATTGAATTTGTCTGACTTGCTGCTGGAACGAACTGAGATACCAGGGGTGTAGGAGCCATTATCTGTGTGGGGGGGGGGGGGGGGGGGGAGGGGGGACATGTCCCCCCCACTATTTCCCCATGTATTTCCTATGGAGATTCACAGACCGCATGCGAATGGGTCCGAAACGGTCCGACCGAGTGCGGTGCGAAGAAAATCGTGTCCGTTTGTCATCCGGATGCGTTCAAAAATTTGAACTCGTGTGAAAAGCTACGGACTGTTCCTATCCGACAATTCCAGCGGAAGTTGAGCGTTGCTATGGTACTGATAAACAAACCTGAATTATTAACTTTTAATAAAATAAATAATGATTTTATAACGATAAGTTGTCATGTCATTTTTTATTTTCATGACTTTCTAACGTTTATAAGGGCAGTTAATACAATTAAATTGAAGGTAGACATTGAACTATTGACCACTATATCAAATTTTTTAGCCGACCTGACATGTCAACGTCCTGAGCAACTTTCCTCACGCAGCATAACCCTCATCAGAGAGATCATACAGAACTGACAGAATCAATCTTTAATCTCTCCGCTATTTTTGTTCTACCCGCGTCCGACGCTTTTCATTGTGTAGTACAACGTTTTTTTCAAACCAAAAAAACGAACCCGAGGCGTTTTTTAAAAAATGATGCTTTTACGCGTGGCGTTTTTCGCGTCGGTGTGAACACTTACATTGGCGCCCATTGTTTAGTCACGAGGCGTTAAACGTCGACGGATTACGCGCGCGAAATTCGTCCCGGTGTGAACAGGCCTTAAATAACCACAATAACTTAGAAATGCATCTAAAGGCTGCAAACAGGTACTTGCATTGGTTTTGGTCCAGATGCAGGATATTCTTGAGATTCTTAATGATTCAGGAGTGCACTGAAGCATTCGTTTGGGTTCTTGGGGTGGTCCAAGTTGAATCCAAAGAAGTTAACTTGAAGATGATGTTCCGGAAGGAGGAGGATGGTCATGAGCTTGATCTGACATAATCAGATACTTTTAAGGGTCCTTTTAGTTCACATCCCTTTGGTGAGGTGACCAATCTAAGATGAACTGGAGAAAGGCTTTGTTAATCTTATCTCCATTTGCATGTTCATGGTGGAATGGAGAATTTGTGCAGTCTTTACACAAAAGTATGGAAACAAATATCCTGATACAATTTCTCATTGTACAACATTGATTGTAATATCAAAAGAGGTTTCTTTTGATACCAAGAAAGAGGGGATTCGAAGACATTAAAGCTGTGATACATCATCTTTGGATATGAACATTGGAAGTTACTCTAACCATAACTAAAGAATCATAACTAGTCATTACTAATAAAACATGCATAAAACAATGGAGAAATACTATAAACATATGGAAAGATTGTGTATCAATGGAGTACGCGTCCTTGTTTATTGGAAGTTTATCTCTATAGTCTTTGACCAAAAGGCTAGTGTTGTCTGGTCTTCTGTGCTGTCTTTGAGGGTTGCAGACACAGTCTCTTGCTGAGACCATTCAGTGGAGCAGAGGTGATAATAGCCTTTAGTGAGAAGTGATAATAGGGCCGATGACACCAGGGGAGAGGGAATGTTTTCTGGGGACTATGGCATTGATTAATTTGATTAAGGCCATTCGCTACATATGCTTCTAACTACCGCTCAAGAGCTCAAACAACACACATTTGCGATCTATGCCTTCGGGAAAGGCCAAATCGTTCAACTATGTCGGTAACAACAGAGCTTGCGACCATAGTTGCATAACGATGCTTTTGGAGAATGCACCCGTTGCTATTTCAAGTCACCCTGAATATTTTGATTAACTGGTTCAGGTTTGATTAGGTTGAGTTGGAGTTAAACTCAGACAGTAGCCCCCAAAGAGTAGGGTTGGCTACCCCTAGTTCAGAGGTATGATTCTTTCTTGGGCTCTGTAAAGTCCTAGTTTCCTATCCCGGACGAGCCCCCAATTTAAAGTGTTCCTGTACAGCAGGGCTGGGCTGCTTTAGCCTTCGAGGTCCACTCTCCTGCAGAATTTAGGCCACATCCACACGAAGCCAAAGCTTCCCCTATCCGATGTTTTTTTTTTCCTCATTTTAAAAAAAGTCAGTAAACACGGTGGCGTTTCGAAAAATATCTGCGTACACACGAAACCACTGAAACTGACAGAAAACAATGTAGTATGCATCCCAGACCAGAATATGGCGCTGTAATTCTGCCATAAAGATACACAAAAAATGCGAGAAGAAGACTTAATATTAGGCAATAATATTAGGCACCGTTTCTTATTTTCTGTTTTTCTTTTTTACCAAGAACTTTATTGAACAACCATAAATTGCCTGGTACAAAATAGAGAGTCACCATATTCGCGATTAGTTAGCAGACTCGCTAGCTTGCCACAAAGAACCGGCAAAAGTAACGAATGTGTCAGATATGGACATTTTAATTGTTTATTAATAAACTAGTGTTTTCTGTGTCATTTCTTGACTGAAAAGATGAAGTTGACGATGCTGACTTGCCACTCCGCAGTTTTGTGAACGCGCCTAAGGATGTAGCCTAGGCTAATGCACTTCATACGAATTAGGCTATAAGAGAGTTCTGTTTCTTTTCGTCTTGAATTGTTGTTGGATGTTGTTTAAATGTAGACATTTCAAGCTTTCTAATACTTTCTAATACTTTCTTTTCCAATACGACAAAAGATGTTATGTATACAGCTAAACATGTCTCTAAACGTGTGGATGGGGCCTTAGTTCAACCCTGATCAAACTCCGACCTGCAGACCTTGATTAGCTTGTTTAGGTGTGTTTGATTAGGATTGGAGCATGCAGAGTTGCCCAGCACTACAGTTACCCCCTTTTGGGATATAGGCTTTCAACCTTGTTCCAGGTGTAACCCGTCTTCTTGCTTTCCTCTTTCCCTTTTTCTTTGAGGACTTCAGGTCAGCGCTTTCCTGGTGATGTCTGATGCAGGCTTCCCGCTGTACAGTACCTTGGAATATTTTTAATCTTAATAAAAGATACTGAGTAACATGAGCATAATTTGTCATTTTTTTGCATTGTAGAGCATAGGAAAGGGTTCTCTCTGGTCGATTGATCCTGACTACAGACACAATCTGATCCAGGCGCTAAAGAAGACTCCATATCATCCGTATTCCCCTCGGCTTCCAAAACCACCTACCTCCCCATCTGCCTCTCCTCAGCAATACCACAGGTAACGCCTCAATTTCTCACTCAGTTTTTGGGTTTTTTTTTTTTTTTTTGGCTGTCCATTTCTTTTTCTTTTTACTTTCTGTTCTTTTCCTCTGCAACTACCAGTTATGGCTTTTTTCCCCTCTTCATTGGTTTTCTTCTAGTACTTACATTCACACTTTCCATTTTGTGTGGCCCTGAAAATCCTAGTCCAGACTTTTCCGTCTCCAAAGAAAGAGCTTGGGCACAAAAACCTTGGTGTGGAATGACAAAATGTGACTGAGTGGATGTTGACTTTACCACTCTAAAAATAATTTTGATTGTTAAACAGTGTTCAATTAAATCAAACCTCAAGAAAGAGAAAGGAAGACTGAAGGAAGCTCATATATACACCTTTATTTGTTGGCCTCTCTTATGACCTTCCTGCGAAGAACACATCGATTCAGTGTCTGGGGGTTTTGGGTCAGTTCCTTGACTCGTTCCTGTGCTCTTCGTCAGCAACTGGACATGGTCCTCTGGGGAATCTGTGGGATGTAAAGAAGCGGCACACGCTTGCCCTTCCTGAGTCGTTTCTTCTCCTCTGCTGTTGCTGTGACGACCAGAGCACCTCCATGGCAACATATGTATGAGACAGGTGTAATAGAAGCACAAAGCTATTTGTCTGGCAAAAGAAGAAAAAAAACATAGATAGGACAGACAGTTAGTGCTAAGAAAAACAATATAGGCTTAGCAACACTAAACTCCATAGCAACAGCAGATGCTGGCTCCTGTTTTCTTGCTCTTGTGGGATGAAGGGGCTGCTCACAGTAGCTTGTGGTCTTCTCTTTTGGGAAATTGGAAAAGTAAGTTTGTGTAAACAATTTTCATCAGTCGAAGAACCAAACAATTCAATTGTAGTACTCAAAGCAAATATGTTACCACTACACCAAATCATAATTATATATTAGCATTAGTTCTGTCCAATCGATTAATCACATCTAATACTGAACCATGCATTTATCAGCTGACCTAAAAAAAATCCCTGGAATAACAGTGGCAGACGTAAAATGAAATCAATGTATTAATGTAAACATTTCCAAACCACTAAAAGGCTATGTTAAATCGTAATCGAAATTATATTAATGAGATTAGATGAAGTCATCTGTGAACCCCCAACACACCCAACTCTCCCTATCACTTTAAAAAGTGATGCTCATGGTGTGTTTTTAGGTTTCAAAACTAAAGGAGTGTGAGTCAGACTAAATGTAGGGATGGTATTGACTGTTATTGAAAATAGAAGCCATTTGGATACATTGCTTTACACTGTCTATAACAAGTAATCAAATAATTGGATTTCCAAGCTTCGCCGGGATGTCTGTACTTGTTCAATTAGATTCTTTTGCCATACCTTGAATTTGCATTCCACCCAATCAGATTCTCATTCTCTTGAATTTCCTCCCCTCTGCCTTTATCTGTCTTTGACTAGGATTTCGGAAGTTCATAATTCAAAGGTTGTTTTGTTTTTGTTAGTTTATTTTTCATTATGTGATTGTGTTTATATCTTTTAGTCCTCCACTATGGCCAGGAAGTCCACTCTTCAGAAAAAATGGAGGAGTGCTCTTACAAGGTAATATCCCTTTTCTCTTTCTTAAAGACTCCATTATATAAAAAATGGAGTTTTGTTGCTTTTAGTTCATGTCTATTAGCTTTGAAACCTTGTAGCTTTTGCAGATAAACGGGTATGATGATGGTTAGCCATTCAGTCGAATCTGGCTCTTGAGGATCTTCTGCTTCCTTTTTCAACCGTTCTATGCTTAGGCCTGTGTCACTCTTGATGGTGTTGAGTCACCACTTTTTTTGGCGGCCTCTTTTCCTTATTCCACTAACATTGCATTTTCCAAGGCCCGCAAATACCGGGACGAATATCAACGCGCGTTTTTTTGCTGTCGCGTTTGTCATATAGTTGTTTATGTTCTAACACCCAACAGCAGCTCTACATTCATCTTGCCTTGCATATTCCTTCATCTTATTTCTTCCTGGCTGTGTAGACGGCGACGCTACTTGGCGTATATCTTCTTCCCCGTTCCGAATGTGTGCTCAGCAAGACCGTTTTGTGTTTGAGCGCCCCCAAGTTGTGTTTTACTGCAACTTCAGAAGCTCCAAACACATGAGCAAAAGCGCCAATTTCATTGGTTCGGATAGTTTTTGACACAGCGCGTCAAACTAAAAAAACCAACCTGAGGCGTTTTTTTTTTTTTAATGATGCTTTTACGCGTGGCGTTTTACGTGTCAGTGTGCACACTCACATTGGCGCCCTTTGTTTAGTCACAAGGCGTTAAACGTCGACGAATAGGCCGGTGTGAACAGGCCTTTAAGTGACATCTCGGGTATATTACAGTTTATAAGTTGGGGTCAGTAAGATTTTTTTCAGCGTTTTTGTCTCTTAAATTAGACTTTTAAAGTTCTATTTTAATCTATTAATTTGAATTTTCAGCATCATTACTCCAGTCTTCAGTGTCACATGATCATTCAGAAATCATTGTAATATGCTGATTTGCTGCTCGAGAAACATTTCTGATTTATTATCAATGTTGAAAACATTTGTGCTGCATAATAATTTTGTGTAAACCGTAAAACCTATTATTTTTACATTTAGATTCTTTGATAATTTTTACATTTAGATTCTTTGATAAAGAAAGTTCAAACGAACAGTATTCATTTGTAGAATAAGTAGACATTTAAAAAAAAAAAAAAAAAAAAAAACCTTTTTACTGTTAATTTGATCAATTGAATGTGTCCTTGCTGAATAAGTGCTCAGCCTGCACTACACAGATTTCATCCAATCAAATGCTATCTGGAGTGAGAATGTCAATACCACCACCATCTGGAAAATCATGTTCATGGCTGTGATGTAGCCTATTAGCCATGTAAAACTGTTTTTTTTTTTTTAAAGATGACAAGTCCTTTGATATGTCCCACCCAAAGAAATATATTTCAATAAAGGAAAAAATAAAGTGATTTCATGCAGCCTTTAAAAGTGCCTTGCAAGAGCTCCTTGATTTAGATTTATAAAAACAAAACCCTCTATCACACAAATAGCTGCTTTGCGCCTACAGATTACCTTTGTAATGTCTTGGGAATCATTATTTTTTTCCCACTGATTCTCTCATTTCCCACAACTGCTCCTTCATCTCTCTCTCTCTCAGTCCATCTGTTTCTCTCTCCTTCACTCCTGTTGGTGTCCCAGCCGTTTAAATGTCCATTCGATTCCAATCAGGGTGCTCTCTTTCCACTCCACCGCTAGCAGCTAAATGGAAGGAAATGGATACATTATCTGTCTGTAGTGGCTGCTCTCTCCTTCTCGTCTGCTCTTGATAATGGAATAATGGAGGCAGAGCCGCTTGTGAAAAGTGTGTGTGTGTGTGTGTGTGTGTGTGTGTGTGTGTGTGTGTGTGTGTCAAGTGGTCGACTGGAGAGCCTAAGCTCAAGGCCGCTTCACTTAAGCTTGCTATAGCCAATGTCATAGTGCTTACAGTGTGTGAGTGTCTGGACACCTGTGAAGGCTGTCTAGTGTTAGTTTGTCATGTCTCTTAAAGCAAGTTCACCCAAAAATTAAACTTCTGTCATCATTTACTCGCTCTCCAGGGATTAAAGGGGGAATTACTTCCCATGTGTTTGCCTGCTGCAAAACCGATACCGATTATTGACCTTTCAACAAATCAGTTGAGCAAACATTGCATCACCTAATTAATATTGACGGTGATTTGGTTTATAATGTGTTCCTCACAGTTTTCAGACCGTTCTATTGTCCAGCTCGCTCTCATGTTATTCCAAACCTAAATTACTTTCTTCCATGAGATGTTTAGCACAATGTTCATGCTGCTCTTTTCCATGCAAATAAAATAAATAGTAATAATTCATACAACACATAGACTACACCTAAAGTCTTCTGAAGCCATCCGATAGCTTTGTTTGAGGAACACATGATAGGATTTTCATTTTGGGTGAACTTTTCTTCTGTTCTTCAGATTTAAAAAATAGTCTAAAACAAAATCAAGAGGTAACTGACATAATATTTATCATTTTATTTTGTTTTTATTTTGTTCTATTTAGGAACCAAGTTGGAAGGGTCAAGGGTTTTATTGAAAATTCCCTAATTTGTCCAGGGATATCCAAAACCTGGATAAATGGGAGAATTTTAAAAAATATCTTGGAAAAGATAAAGATATAAGGATAAAGATATTAATAAGTCATGGCAATTTATATATATATATATGAAGAGTTCAGATGCAAAAGCCTCTAAATGCCATTTGAAATTTTCTTCTTTAGTGATGATTTTTTATCAAACTTGTATATTTTATTTCATTAATTTCACTTAAATAACAATTAATAGGTAATTATCATTGCCATTTAAGTGAAATTACTGAACTTAAATATACAAGTTTGATAAAAATCATCATTAAAGAAGAAAATTTCAAATGGCATTTAGAGGCTTTTGCATCTGAACTCTTCATATATATATATATATATATATATATATATATATATATATATATAAAGCTCTAAAATATTTTATTAGGTAGAAAATGCTATTTGTGAGGAAAAAAATTATTCCACCATGAAACTACTGGAAATGTGTGTTCTTGTATCTGCTGTGATCACAGCAGTGTAGTCCAGTATTTGTTATGTGTGGTTTATGGGATGAGTTGTAATGTGGGGTTTGTTTTTTGGCAGTTCCACAGAGAGTGATACAGCACAGCTCACGTGTTGCCGCTCAGGGGCTCTTTACAGTTATCAGACCCCTTCCTTTGAGTCCTGTGAGCAAGAGGACCACCGCTGTGAGGTTAGTATCCTCCTTGGTGTTAAATAAAAATAGTTTTCTAAAGTGCTATTATGCTATTTCAAAGGTTCGTGATTTTAAGTTTTGGAGGTCTCCAACAATGTTCACATGCATTCAAAAACACTTTAATTTTCTTATAATATACAAACACATCACCAAATTTTGGTAAACTGTTCATTCGTAGAGTCAGTCTCTCTAAACTCCTCCTTTCTGAGAGCCTGCTCTGCTCTGATTGGTCAGACAGCCCAGTCTGTTGTGACTTATTTTACTCACAGTGCGTGTCAGGAACCAATCTACCATTATAATATCTGTATTTCACACTTGTTACACAGTGATACGAAGAGTAATGATGGCGTTTAGTTGGTTTTACCCAATCAATCAATTTGAAAGTGCCTGCAAATTGGATTTACTTTTGCAGCGCTGAAAAAAGGGTCTTCTCGACATGTCGACAATATGAACCAAACACTTCCATGCCTCAGCTACTACTGCAGTGTTTGAGGGTCAAAGTTGACGTAATCCGCGGGCAGTCAATGAAGGCCATGGGCTGGCATTATGCAAACGTATGACGTTGGTATGTAACAGGAGGTGAGACTGAAATTGCTGACGACTCGTTTAGCAGTTCAAAATCAATTTTTGGGAGACAATAACTTTATTTGTTCTGTTGTGAATTTTGAAAACAGACCTTTTACTTTGACAACCAGCTATATTATACAATACATGGAGAAAATACTATAATAATACCACAATAACACTGTTTTCAACTCATTTAATTCATATAAAAGGAGCTGACAGAGGAAAATGACGCACTGAAATATGCCAGACTCTTGGCAAAAATACATTTTGTCTTGTTTTATGCCATTGTCGTCTTGTTTTGAGCATACACCTCATTGAATTTTGTTAGATATATGCTTAAAGGGTTAGTTCACCCAAAAATGAAAATTCTGTCAGTATTTACTCACCCTCATGTTGTTCCAAATGTGTTTATTTGGTCGGCTGAACACAAAGGAAGATATTTCTGTTTAATCAAACAGATCTCATTCCCCATTGACTACCATAGTATGTATTTTTTCCTACTATGGTCAATGGGGAATGAGATCTGTTTGATTAAAACATTCTTCCAAATATCTTCCTTTGTGTATAGCAGAACAAATAAACACATAGAGGTTTGGAACAACATGAGGGTGAGAAAATACTGACAGAATTTTCATTTTTGGGTGAACTAACCCTTTAAGACAAAACAAAAGCTATTTGACAATGTAGCTTTATCAAATTAGCAAAGCTCTTTAGCAAATCTCAAAAATGGAACCTACCTAAATTCCCCCTAATTGATTTAGAATTTTAATTTCAGCCATTTATTGGTTTTCAGCCATGTGTATACCTTGAATAGGCAAGTCATTTTGAAATTAGCGTCTGTGTAAGTGTAATATATTTAATAACGATTCCCTCCGTATTAACAGATCAGCCCTGGGCGACTATCTGACACGGGGTAAAAACAGTCTGTGCAGCGACTCTCCTCCGCCCAGCGATGACCAACAGGAGGACCACACGTACAGCAGCTCCCAGTCCCCCAGCACAAAGGGGGACATCACTTCCCCCCTCTCCTCCTCCCCCACTCAGGGTTCCCTCTCTGCCCACAGCCACGGTCAAGAGGTGACGGTCACTGAGGTCAAGGAGGAGCAAAAAGACTTCCCGCTGGACGCTTCGCCACCTCCTTCCCAGCTGCTCCAGCGCAGAAGACTGCTGTGGACCAAAGGCCACCTACGGACCCCTGGTGACACACTTCCCCTGAAGAAGAGGAGGGCAGGAAATCTCCTGGTAAAAGAGGAGGAAGACGAGGAGATGAAGGAGGCGGCGGGGTCGTTGCTTCACCTGGCTGGAGTGCGCACCGGTTTGAATAAAAACGCTCAGCGTGCGTGTAAAGTTCAAAAGGAGCTGAAAGAGGAAGCCAGCGATTAGCAATGAACGAAAACCCCGCTAACACAGATCTAAATACTTCTGTTCCAGGATATCAGGTGAATTCTAGTCAGTTGTTGCAATATCAATAAAATCACCGTTGTCCCTTGTTAAATTTGATTTCCCGGGTGAAAGATTCTCATGTTCATGTTGTTTTGTGTGTGTGAATGCGAGTGTGTGTGTGTGCGAAGAGGGAAAAAAGCCATAGTAAAATTTGGGTCATTTGAGTGAAAAATGTTTGTTTTTGAATTCATCAAGCCTACGGAACAATTTAAAAGAATTAATCATGTTGTAGCAATCCTTCTGGTTCACATCAGAAAGCTGAACGGAGAGATTTCCTATGCTGCTCTCGAGTGTGCCAAAGATGAAACCTGTTGATGAAAGTGCAGCTAATCCATGCACACTTAGTAAGACCAGTAATAGTTTCAAAAAGTAGTGATACCGACCTATGACAAAAACCATCCGACGAATATTTGGGTCAATGACATGATAGTCATTTTTCTTGGTCCACGTCTATCGATTAATTAAAAATACGATTCACGATTAGAAAACACACCTATTGTTGTATGTCTTTTTTCTGAATTCATTTTGAAAGTTTTTTTTTCGAATGCGTCAAGTAATGCGTTACAATATTAGTAAAAAGTAACTAATTGCGCTACTTAGTTACTTTTACTTTTGGACTACTTTTTCTCACCTGGGCTTCCTTGTTTGTTTTTTTAATAACAAAATAAAACCAAAGGTTCTATTTTTGGCAAATGTAAAGGCCCTTTCACACCAAAAGTGAAATAAATAAGCCTCGGGCTGAAGGAAATGCAAATTACTTACCGTATTTGAAAAAGTAACATTTTAAAAGTAATCTGATTACTTAACTCACGTTACTTGTAGTGAGTATGACATTATCTTTTATTTTTTCTTATTTTTTCTTACAAATATTAAACATATATATTTATTTAAATTAATATTAGTAAAATATTTTGACAAAACTGCTCAATAATCATGTAAGAAGACCTGCAGAATTAGGAATGGTCTTTATCTTGAAAAATGTATTTCATTTCTTAATAATGAATAACGTGCGTTTTCATGTACATGTGCCCAAGGTGTACGGAAATATATTCTTCTTTTTTTTATTAATTTAAAATTGATGGTTACACCATATTACACCATTTTAATGTCATTAAATGTACTTTTCTTGAAAATGGTGTACACATACAAAAAGTAGGCCTACATTTCGCCTTAGCATGTTTTAAACTAGATTTTCTTTTTTACAGTTCTTTATGTTGGACGCTCTGTCGTTGACCCATTTATTTATTAAGCAACAAATGTTTTGTGTATAATGGCCTGTGTCCAATGGATATCAAACATAAAGGTCAAATGCAATATGCCAATTCTCTCTTAGATGTCTGGTTTTCAAAACATGTCTGGTGTTAGTTCTTATTTGAAGCACACTAAAACTAATCTTTTAATTATGAAGCAATGTGTCAGAAATGTCTATTATGTTGCCAAAATGTTGGTATCTTTTTTTCATTACAATCCAAGCAATTTGTCCTATCAGGATAACACTGTAAAAAAAAATACTCCCTTTTTTCCACAAAAGGCAGTTTTTGCCTGTTTTTCAGTTATTGCATGGGTGCTTGTACATAAGAAGAAGTATTTTCTTTTCTAAACGAAAGATCATGTAAGATAGATATTTAGCATGAGGCATGGCTTATTTTCTTACGAGAAAACAGAGAGGCGTCTCTAAAAGCGTAGGTTTCTTTCTTTACTCAATTTTTTTTTTAATCGTATCTCTTCTGCGGCAGACAACTCTTCCAAAGGAAGGGACTTCGTGAAAACCCATTAATGAACAGATCTGCCTTGTATTGAATATCAGGTAAAACTGATCTTGCCTTTTTCGTGGTCCTCAGTTTGGTGGTCCTTTTTCAATTCATTGATGTAAGTGTTCAAATGTTGTTAATAATCAGTGTTGGATGACCTATCACTCTGTACACCCTTTAAGGTTGTGCTTGGATGTCTGTTCTGTTCTTTTTGTAATGGTTCGATACTCTGTTAAAGTCATTTGCATTGTGCAACCTGCAGCGTTGATATCATAAATTGTACTGAAATAGTTTGACAAGGAATTAGAAGTGGCTTTAGGATAGTCCCTTATTAGCGATCGACCATGGCTTGCTTGTCTGTTTCCTTAATATTTTGTTTTTTAATAACCCATCCCTCATGAACTTGAACTCCATCTGTGAAACTGAATGTCCTGTTGTGGTGGATGAGCCTGGCTCGTCATCTGTCAGCGTCATACATATGGTGCGTTCAATGTCAGAAAGATCGTAATTGTGAGGTGAACACATGATTGAAATCCAGGATGTCAAAAATACGAATTGAAAGCTCTGGATTTTCTTTAATGCTGCCTTCACGTGCTATGGGAATTATCATAAATGCGTGTTTCCTAGTTAAAAATTGGTCATGATCACCGTCTCAAGTCGTATTTACCACTGTGAAATTTGGAGATCATTTTGAAAGGCGGGCCATAAACTTTAAACATGGCGAAGGGTAGAACGATGCTAATATCGCTGTTCATTGTTCGTTTTTTTTTTCCTCAACAACATCGCCTTGTCATTAAAGTAGCACATATTTACATAGGCTACAATATGCTTCAAATGATATCCATATTATACACAGTGTAAATAGCCTGTATTTCAACCAAATTCCAGAATCGTCAGCAAACTGGTAATTGTTTAGGCTATATGGTTGTCAATGATTGGGATGCTACATAAAATTTTGGCTTTAAGATTTTCCCAATTATTGGGCAGGATTAACCTGATATCCTCCTTAGATTCTGTTCTTTCAGACTACAAAGCACTTGAAATCGACAAGGTCGTAATCACGAGTTCAGAAGTGGGAAGTAGGAAATTTCCGATAGCATGTGAATGCAGCATGCCCTGATCTTTACAAGTTGGGGCCTGTCAGTGAAAAACGGTGGCACAATACTCAGGTATTTAGCAGTGACATTGTCAGGCTTATTTATTTACAACAAGATAAGCTAACCGCCTGCACAAAATATGATAGCATTTGAATATAATAATGTGTAACAAAGTGCACAATAGCTTTATAAATCAATTAAAAACATAAAAAAGCAAAACACAACTGATGCACAATCTTTGTTCTTCATTTTAGACGTAGAGTTTAAAGGGATAGTTCACTTTGAAATACATTTTTGGTATGTTTTATCTTACCTCAAGGGCATCCAAGATGTAGGTGTCTTTGTTTCCACAGTATTTTCGATTTTGATATTTTTAGGTCAAATCGGTGTTGTCTTTCAGTCATATAATGGAGGTCTATTGGCACCACCTCAAAGAGCATGCACAGAGAAGTCCAAATTAAACATGATTTAATGACTCGTAAATGTAAGTACACACTGATGGCCTAAGACACGAAACGAGCGGTTTGTGTGAGAAAACGAACAGTATTTATATCGTTTTTACCTCGTGTAACCACAGCCACTTCCAAGTGATCTGAGGGCGTGGGCGCTTCGGTCTGAGCAAGCGCCTGAAGTGATCTCTCGGGCGGTTGCGAAAATAATTCAACGTTGTCTGATCTATCGAAATCGTCTTGCATTGCGATTTTCTGTGTGTCTAAATATGTTTAGATCTTCATAGTGAAAGGTAACACTTCTGAAATCTCTGTGTAAACAATGAGTGACGTACACGCGCGAGAGATCACTTCCGGCGCTTTCCAGCGCTTGCGCAGACCGAAACGCCCTCGCCATATAAATACTGTTCGTTTTCTCACACAAACCGCTCGTTTCGCGTCTTAGGCCATCAATGTTATGAGTCATTAAATCATGTTTAATTTGGACTTGTCTGTGCATGCTCTTTGAGGTGGTGACCATAGACCTCCATTATATGACTGACAGACAAGAACGGTTTGACCTAAAAATATCAAAATCGAAAATACTGTGGAAACAAAGACACCTACATCTTGGATGCCCTTGAGGTAAGATAAAACATACCAACAATTAATTTCAAAGTGAACTATTTTCATGTAGTTTATTAAAAGGTCACTGCCATCTTGCTCCGACGCAAGTAACTTGAAAGTACCTGACGTTGTAAAGTCGACTTACAAACTCGTGAATACGATCTTCCCAGTCAGGCCTTGAACGCACCACCGCATCTTTCGCGATGTTTACACTCCACTTCCGCTGTATGTATGAAACGCTTTCTGAATGTTATGCATCCCTCGCGGGAGCGGAGCACAGATATACCGTTTTCAGTCCTTTGAAATACTCCAGCACGATATATTAGCACTTTTTAAAATATTAAAATAGGACTATTTGTCTTCGGCAGGGGGTCTAGGGACGGAGCGGCACTGTAAGGGTGAGTACAGTGTAAAATAAGTAACGTACGGCGAGATGGCCCTACTTTATTTGATTTGCATATATAGGCAATAAGCTGCTGCTACGGTTTTGCTTTAAATTTATGCCAGTCCCATAATAATATGCCATTTTTTTTGTGCGTGTGTACCAATAAATAACTAACACGATTTCTTTTTAACTGATTTAATAGCAAAGATTCATACAAATCCATGTAAGAGAAAAGGGGGACACAAATATGCATGAATTATTTATTGGAAAACTCTCACTGCCTCTGAAATTATATGTGAAATAATATAAGGGTTTTTGTCAATGTTGTTGATGTTGTTTGTTTTTGCCAAATATGTTTTTGCCCTTGTACTTCCATAAGTCAGTAGTGGTCTGATTATGATTTTAGAGCACAATGGAATCATAATGAATATGTATTCAACCAGGTCTATTTTCAATACACTCAGATGCCAATGCTGTACGAGTATAAAGCTGTCTATTTCCTTGGTGTGCAATCATATTGCCAAAGAACAATATCAAACTATTTCATCAATACGTGTAAATAATCACATTGTCTATATGACAATAAATGTCACATCATGTTGTTACTTTTCCACATATTTCTCCTGAAACTTAAAATAATGTTTATGTAATGTATTGTCTTCCAGTTGCAATAATAAAAAAATATCAGAGTTTTAAATGAATAGTTGTTTTGATTTATTTGGTTTTAAAGGTGTAGTCCAACCGTTATCAGAATTTGAGTTCTACATTCCTGAATTTAAGGATTGTATATATGATTATTTAATGCATCACCACCTTGGTAAAGAAACCATTGCATTTTTGTCCTCACTTTGTCCCGTATACAAAGGGACCAAATGTCCCCACAAAGATAATGCCAGTCATTTTTAGGTAGGGTTATGGGATAGATTATACAATTTCTACAGTATAAAAATCACTATGTCAGAGAGTCCCCATAAAACATTGAAACACAATGTGTGTGTGCGTGTGTTCTTGTGTATATATATGGTTTATGAGGACCGAAATGTGCGGTGGGTAGGTTTAAGGCAAGGGTTAGTGTAAGGGGATACAGTTTGTACAGTATAAAAATCATTGTGTCTATGGGGAGTTCCCGTAAAGCACAAATGCCACTTTGTGTGTTTGAGTGAGTGATTTTGGATTACCTGCTGTCTTGAATGTTCATCCCATGTTTAAGGGGACTTGATTACACTGAGCTTGGGTGTGGCTAATGGGACCCAATGATGGCTTATGCAACTGGAGCTTTATTCATAATTAAAGGCAATAGAGGCTTAATCAGCAGCCACCAGCTCCCTGTGCTCGCTGGAGCCATTTCTGTTGCTATGCAACTCCAGGAGACAGAAGTAGTCAATCTGTGCTTGATACATTTTATTAGTCTTTGTGTTGAGTCTTTATGTTTAAAGGGGTATATTTTATTCCTATGCCAAAGAGAAATACAACAAATAGACCAAATAGTAAGCGTTTAATTTTGGGATAAAGCAAAATGACAAAGTGGATGAAATTAATTTAAACAGATGACATCCAAAACATATAAATACACTTTAAGATATTACTACTCCATATATCCCATTTTACACATTTACACAGTTTAATGCTGCTCAGAGGTGGCATAAATGCCTTAACAAGCAGTTTCTCAAAGCGCTATACACGCAATAAAAAAATACAGCAAAGTAAAAATGAAAAAGAAAAAAAAACTGCATTTGATACTGAGGGCTGAGGTGGGTCAACTGGCATAACTGAATCTGACTTTTATGCAGTATAACATCTTTACACTTAGCTACTTTTGAGCAGGCTGGCTTTACTTGTCTTTTCAAAGACACCTTAAAACTGAAAAAAGGTCTGAATGTAGACAATCCTCTCTCTGGAACGACCTACACAACTTCAGACATCCTCAAAGTCCTCAATTCATTTATTTAAACTTCTTGAAATATTCATCTCCAAAAACATTGACACTGTTAGTTTTGCTATTCCTATTATTTAAAGTTTTTGAGACAAACAAAGATCGACAGACAGACAGACAGACAGACAGACAGACAGACAGACAGACAGACAGACAGACAGACAGACAGACAGACAGACAGACAGACAGACAGACAGACAGACAGATAGATAGATAGATAGATAGATAGATAGATAGATAGATAGATAGATAGATAGATAGATAGATAGATAGATAGATAGATAGATAGATAGAACATTCCAATGTTTTAATATTTCAAATTTATTAAGAAGTTGTTGCTTGTGGTACACATTGCCCTCGTGTGGTGAAAATGGTAAGTTCATTATGCTTATAAATTACTATAAGGTAAATTTGTTTTTGTTTTGACAAAGCATTGTCTAGAAGTATGAACAATTTATAAAAGCATTTTTATAACATTAGACGTTAACATTAGGATGGACATATAGGCTAATAAATAGGAACTAGGAAATTTGGTTTCAACAATAATTACAATAACAAAAACAACCATAAACGCTTAGTAATCCACAATCGTAACAGTAGTTTGCATATCGTTTTTATGTTGACAAACACATTGTGACGGGCTGCATTGGCATATTTTGGTAAAGCCTCCACACTGACTCACCGTGTCGTGTTTGCGGTAAGAGCGCGCTGAAATCTCGCGATATTTCGCGCAGTGCCCGCTTGACCCTGCCCTGTGTCTCGCGCAGCTCCGTATATAAAGGCAGACGACTGGAGAAGACGGACGGCTGGGGAGCAGCAGCCCTGGGACTGTGAATAAGACCGTAAACAGCTGTGTTTTTATTTACAGAAACTTTAACCGGCAACTTTTTAAAACGTTTTAGATGTTTCCGTGCTTTTTTTAAATGATTTTTGGGGTTCTAGCTTGATACTCGCGGTGTGTTTCCCCCCTCACTGCGCTCATAATGGCGAGCTCGGCTAACTCGAACACAGTGGTAAGGATCAGACAAACGGCACTCATACTCCAAATCATCACACACGTGTCCAAGAACTGTAGTTAGACGCAGTACCAAACCCACACATTTAGCATTCGCAATAAATAAACATACTAGACACACGTACACATCAGATCTGATCCATGTGAGCTCTTTGTAGGGAAGTGTGTGAGTGTTTGCTGATAGAGATGTAACACGGCTGGATCTGCTGAAGGAAATATATCTGCTCTGATCCACTGCATTAAACTTTATTACGTGTTTTAAGACGTATTTCTGTTAAACTAACACGGGCTTTGTTACATGTGGCCTCGGCCGTGTAAAAAGCTGTGTTTGATGCGAAAAGTAAATTGTCGTGTAACTCGATATGTTACAGTTTGTTGCGAAAGCACCCTTTTAATCCCGACAAATGCATCTGAAATTAAACCAAATCAAGTGTATTTATCAAGTGAGAGGGCAGAATTGTGTTTGTTGTCCCTGCGTATTCGAACGAAAACCTTCCTACATCACATCAAATATTATTTTAACGAGTTGTACATTTCCCCCATATTACCGAATCCCATGTATATGAGCCCAAAAATCAGCCGATTATTACTATAAAACCCGTTCGCGGAGTCCTCACTGCGTGCAAACGCTGTGTCATCATGGCTACCGTCGCTGTTCGCTGTCTGCGCTTCTGACCCTCCTCCTTTCGGGCGCCTGGTTTTATACAGCCATAGCGGCGCTCTAATATAGACTCTGGCCGGGATGGGAAGGTGCTACTCGGCGCTACGTCACGGGCTCTGCATATAAACACCAGACCGCGCTTTAAATAGTGAGCGGACTGGCCGCGCGCCACGGACAGGACGCGACACACTCACACCGCGAGCCTCTGCCATCTTAGCTGAAGCGTATCAGCGCCATAGCGATGGTGGTTTCTCTGTGGGCAGAGAAAGACGGTTGTTTGCCTATTCCGGAATGACTTCTGCCGGAAATGCGTGTGTGTGTGTTTGTACGAACGTTTCTGTTCCCGGTTTCGTTGAGTGCAGGTGACCGTGGTCGCAGTGCTACAGTAACTTACACGCGCTATTTAAAGCGGATGCGTCGCGAGCTGCAGCAATAAACACGTTTTCTGAAACATGTGTCTATTTATAGTGCTTCCACTCGGGTCCAGTTAAGTTACCAAATAGTAATTGGGAAGTCGGACTGATGTCCGTGGGTCGGTGGTGAAATAATGTAACGCCTTTTAAGACGTAATTACGTCATTCTTTGTGTTCCTGAACCGTTTTTTTTACACCCTCTAATTACAAAATGTCAAATATAGTCACGTGTGTAGGCACATACTACCGTTTATTACTTTCCATTACGTGTCGTTTTGAACGTTTATTTTAAGTTGCTTCCCAGTTCAGTTTGTTACGGATAATTGAGCACCTTAGAACCTAAATATATTTAAATAATTAATATATTTGCAAATATAATAAACTTTTACAATCAATTTCAAAATCAGTTTTCTGTTTGGCTGAAAATGGTTTAAAACCAACCCTCATTTTTGTTGATAGTTGAAAACATTACCAATGTGTTTTTTTTTTTCTTACACTTTTGCTATTAGACTAGTATGCCCGGTACACATTGTATGGTTTTGGGCTGTCCCAGACAAAAGATGACCAGTCGTGGTGATTTCAGAGGTCGGACTTTTAAACGGTGGTCCGACGTCGTACACTGAGAGGTTCAAAGATGGCCATTGTCATGTTCTTGCGACCAAAGATAGCCTGCATTTAATCTTCTGACATTGTCAGAAATGTATCATGATCATCTGAGTCTGTTTGTTTGCTGCTGTGACCAATGTCTAATAAAAACGCAACATGAAATGGCGAATGGATCAATGCACATGATACTAAAACTATGTTTTTTACCTTAAGCTCCATTTGCAAAATTGGCATCAGCGCACACAACCACAATTGCCAGAGAGAGTGATTCATCATGCTCTATTTGTTTACCACTAGCACATACTGGTGACATTTTATTCTTCTATACAAATGTCATAGCCTTTGGTTCAATATGTGTCGTCATTGGTCATACCCAAGTTTATTAGATCCATGTCGTACAGTTTGATTTGTAATGATTTTATTTTATCGGATTGCTTAAATCGCACTGTCCGTAGCAGGCATAACAGACATTTGCCTCATCAGTCAATCACTGTTCACACTTCAAGTCAGCTCATTCATTGATTCTCAGCTCATTACAAATCATGTTGGCAAGAGACAATTCTCCGTTCACTGAGTCAGCAAGTGGAATCGAGGACTGATTCAGTCTGGTTTGTGAACAAATAGTTTATTGATCTTATTAACCAGTTCAAACTCTTCCTTGAAAACATGCATTCATGATATTTTGTAATTTAGTAGTTGGAAGGGGTTACATATTGTTTGCTTGCATTGTAGCCTAAACTGTATAGATCAGTAATGGAGGATGTCATCAATGAAGTACGGGAGCTTTTCCTGGACGAGGGAGTGGATGAGCAGGTCCTGATGGAGCTTAAAACGGTAAGATGTTTGCTGTTTTGATGAATCTTAACATGCTGGCCAGATGGACGGTTGATTTATACCCATCTTTCTTCCTGAGCAGTTGTGGGAGAGTAAGCTGATGCAGTCCAAGGCGGTGGATGGTTTTCATACAGAGGAGCAGCAGGCTCTACAAGCTCAACAGCAACAGGCTCAACAAGCTCAGATGACGCAGGCACAATCCCAACCGCAGCAAGTCCTCCTGCCTCCAGTGCAGCAGGGTGAGGCTGAGTTTAAGACTTCATTGTCATTGTACTGCTGTGCAAAACAATGAAATTTGTTTGACAAATTTACATAAAATGGAAAAGAAAAAAAAAAGCCCTAGAATAGCCAGTAAATATGCATTTTGATTTTCTGATTTCTCAGCTCCTCAGCAGCAGGTCATTGTTCAGGATCCTAAGCTTCTCCAGCACATGAGCGCGACAGGGATGGTAAGTGTGCTTCGCTTTCATGTTAGTGTTTGCAATAATAGGGGAACGGTTCATTTCTGGTGTTTTTTTCATTAGGGAATTGATTTACTTGCACATTAAGTCTGTGAGGTTAATCGATGGTATATGCTTAAGCATGCATTATTTTAACTTTTTTTTTTTTTTTTTTTTGTAAAATCAGCGTTTAACAATGGAATTCCCTGTGAAAGCCAAAATTACCCATGATTCTAATTATTCTAAGAACCTGCCTCTCCCATAAAGCAGTGATCCATGTGTCACAGACAAGACTTAAAGGAGAACTCTGGTGCAAAATGAACCTTTGGTCTAATAACACTTTGGTACCTAGTCAACCGTTCTCTGAGATTTGTTTTCATGATAATCAAATGTAAAGAGTTTAATCTCTAAAAACTGTTTAGTACTGGGGACATTTAATAAGTAAAAATAAATCGCTAGTTTATACCACTAACAAGGCTCAAAATAGCCCCACAGTAACATAATAAGGGTCCATACATGCAAACCCGAAGCATTGAGAACTTTGTATGTGTACAGACTGTTTAATAAGAAGATATTTTATAAAGACAGTCCACTTCGTGTATACAGGCAGGAGCCATCTTGGGAAAACAGTCTCGACAAGTCGAACTACGAACGCTGTTCATACAGTTCAGCTCACTTGGCACGTCGTTCGTGGTTCGACTTACAAAGTTACAAAGTCGAAAAGAAATGAAGGTTTTTGATGAACATTCCAGGATTTTTCTCCATATAATGGACTTCAATGGGAACCAAACGGTTCAAGGTCCAAAAGACCGTTTCAGTGCAAACTGTTCAAAGGGCTTTTGGACCTTGAAGCGTTTGGTTCCCATTGAAGTCCATCATTATGTTACTGTGTTTGTGTGGGGCTATTTTGAGCCTTGTTAGTGGTATAGACCATTTCACAAGATGTAAACAACACTGGTCCAGAAGCACTTCCTGTTTCAGTTTTTTAACACTACATAAATGCTGGGATAAAATACAACCTACAGAACATTTAAAACTGAATCAAAATGTTAAACAAACATCTTTAAGATGAGTGTTGTTTACATCTTGTGAAATGGTCTATAAAATAGCGATTTATTTTTACTTATTAAATGTCCCCATACACTTGCGTTATACGCTAAACAGTTTTCAGAGATTAAACTCTTTACATTCGATTGTCATGAAAACAAATCTCAGAGAACGGTTGACTAGGTACCAAAGTGTTATTAGACCAAAGGTTCATTTGCGCTGGAGTTCTCCTTTAAGATAATCCCAGACTAAAATGCATGTTTGAGCTTTTTAAACTGGAAGCAACTTGCAGTGACTCATCTTAAAATGTTAATGCCGTTGTTTTGTCTCAAGATGCACACCAGTAATTTTTATTTATTTATTTTAAAGGCACGTTTATAAAAGCTCCTTAAATGTCCTGATTGAACTAAGGTCAAATCCTTGCTTAATCTAAGCCCTGTCACACGTCATGTAGTAGTAAATACAAGACAGGCTGAGAAAATTGAGATTACAAGATGTTTTGAAGTGCCAACTTTTGGAATTTGCATTGATTTTTCTTGTGATCCTAACATTACAAAGGCGTGGATGAACTTTATTTTGAACAAAGTTCAAGATCACATCAGTAAGACGCTGTTTGTTTGTTTGCTTCATTTGACTGCAAATTCGTGCGGATCTAAGCCATTTGCTATAATCCTGAGTAAAAGCTTCAGTGATCAGCATCTGTTTTGTCATCAGTAAGACATTACGTTACACTTGATGTAACGCACGACACTGCAAATGACATTGAATATGTTTTTCACTTGTTCAAAAAATGAATTATGACTAGCCTGTAAGAATGACGCAACAAACAATGGTATATTCATTCATAAACTCTGAATACATAAAACACCACAAGATACTCTACTATCACTGTGGGAACTCCATGTACTTATGCCACTACCAACATTTATAAAGCATATGTAATACACGTCCAAATTACGTAACAATATTTTTCAACATTGGAAGTTTTCAATAAGAATAATGGATGGGACATTAGAAATTATTTTATTACGCAAAACTGTTACCCAATCATAGAATTAGGCGTTTACTTCCAAGTATTTAATGTGGCACACCCATCAAAACTGACTGTTTGAAAGAGTCAAAAACAGGATAGAAAATAGATAATTTCTTCTAAATTAGGGTGTTTTTTTTATGTAAAACTCATGATAACTTAAATGGACCTCAGAGAAAATTATAAAATTGTTCAAAAATTTAGTTCATTACTCATTTAAAGTCATTAATTACACAATCTTTGTCTGATACTTTAACAACATCCAATCCAAGTCTGTAATTTTGTGATTCACCATGTAGCTTGTTGGTTTGGTTCATGCCATATAACTCTTTATAAGCTTCTTTAAAATCCTTATGGAAAAATATGTTTGCAGAATTAAGGCCACTGAAACGGACCGTTACTGTTACTCGAATCCAGAAATCTGCCAGTCCCTTTAAAAATGAATGACATCAGTGGTTTGGTCACTGTAGTTGCCTGTGTATATGAACATCCCTTTAAGATCAGTGTCAATGCCAGCAGGTGAACAGATGGAATGAGGGAGGAGTTTTCCTGGAAAATGGTTTTAGACAGCGCTGGGGACTTTAAATTAGATTACATGGCAAATTCCAGTGAAGGATATTGTTTCTCTCTCTCTCTCCTGCTCTTACCTGATTATTAATGTATGTGTGTGTCCTCTTCAATTCCTGTTTCAATCTTCTGTTCCACTAGAGTGCAGCAGCCACAGCAGCAACTTTGGCTTTACCTACAGGTGTAACACCATTTCAGCAAATCATCACACAACAGGGTAAGACATTACACTCTGACACGTATCCCATAAAGCAATGGCTCTCAATCAGGGGGCTTTCAGGCCCCGTCCACACTACTGCATTTTCCTTTTGCTAGAAAGAGACCTTTTGCTAAGTTTGCACCTCCCGTCCACACTAAAACGGGAAAAACAAAGACCTAAAACGGAGAAGTTTAGAAACGCTGCGCTGCGTTTTGCGTTTTGAATCTCCGGAGGGCGTTTTAGTGTAGACGAGACAAAACGTAGGACTTCAGAAACGCTGACGCAGGTGCTGACGCTTGGCTCCATGATTGGGTGTTATCAGTCATGACGTATCCTTCCCTCATTCGTCGATCACTGTTTACACCGGCACGCGCATGGCCAGTGTTGGTGAATGGTCACGTGATGCGCGTTTTCAGTCGTTTTAATGTGGACGGAGATCATTTCTAATACGCAGATAAAACGCTGTTGTGTACTGAGATCTTATTCGTTTTAATTCTCCGTTTTTAAACGAAAACGCAGTAGTGTGGACGGGGCCTCAATCAGGGGGCCTCAGCAAACTTCCAAGAAGCCTCAAGGTGACTTAAAATGCCATAAAATAAGGTCAAACAAACTACATTCACATGCGATTATATAGGGCCTCTCCTGTTTTTCTGTATTGGTCAGATTACTGAAACTCTTAAAGGTTAGTTCACCCAAAAATGAAAATTAAGTCGTTAATCACTCACCCCCATGCTGTACCAACCCCGTAAAACTTTCGTTCGTCTTCGTAACACAAAGATATTTTTGATTAAATTTGAGGGGTGGATCACTGCTACATAGGCTGCCTAAGGGATCGAAACTTGACGGCCCAGAAAGTCATTGAAGAAAATGTTTAAATATTTCATGTGACTACAGCGGCTCAATTATAAGATTATCAAGCGACGAGAAACTTTTTCTCGACGCATGCGCGAGAATTGCGTTATTTTTCTACTACTGCGTCGTGGAAATCTCTTGAACTCTCGTCTCAGGCCCAGATGGAAGAAAAAGAATAATTGAATAAAGTCGTTATTTTTGTTTATTTTTTCGCACAAAAAGTATTCTCGTCGCTTGATAAACTTATAGTTGAGCCACTGTTGTCACATGGAATATTTAAACATTTTCTTCAATGACTTTCTTGGCCGTCAAGTTTCAATCCCTTAGGGTGCCTATGTAGCAGTGATCCACCCCTCAAATTTAATCAAAAATATCTTAATTTGTGTTACGAAGATGAACGAAGGTCTTACGGGGTTGGTACAGCATGGGGGTGAGTGATTAATGACTTAATTTTAATTTTTGGATGAACTATCCCTTTAAGAGTTTCAGTAATCTGACCAATACAAAAAAACAGGAGAGGCCCGATATAATCACCATCCTAATCTTAAATACTAAGTTCAATGTACAGAAAGCTTTCTCAGTTTATATTGGAATCTAAATTAAACATTTAATAAATTTGTAATACCACAGTCCAAATCAGATTTTTGTGCATGTCTGAATGAAATCCGATCAGATTTAGCTAATGTGAACAGCAAATATTAAAAGAGATTTTTCTTCTTTTTTTTCTCTTTACAAACCACTTACAATACACAATGTGGAAGTCAATCATTTTAGATAGTTGTTTCCATTCAGGTACACAAAATAATCGGATTTTGACTGACAGTGTGAACATAGCCTTTGATCCTTACTTGATTTTTTTATTATATAACAAGTATAAAAATAACAGTTTTATGTGACATTAGTCAACATTAACAAATTACTTCTGTAGCATTTATTAATTTTAAAATTAATTGAACAAATTGTTTTACTAGCTAACATTATCAGAGATTAATAAAATGCCTGTCACTCTATGCAGTGTCAATGAAGTCACTGAAATCTAAATTTACTTCTGAATTCAGTTTTTATTTTATGGGATGTTGCCGTGTTCATTATAAATTTATCCACACGCATCATTATTTTATAAAATAAAGAAGTGTCCTCATAATCTCTTCTCTGTTTAAACCAGTGTGAGTGCTGGGCAAAAAAAAGTTGACAAGAGTTTCAATCAACCTGTCTCTTAGATTAAATGCGTATAGTATTTGTTTGAAATATAGTTTGCAATTGTATGAACCAATCAATTCCAATAGATTTTTTTTTCTTTCACAATGCCCCTTTCATGCTGACATTTAAGTGCATGTTAACGCATCAAGTTTGACAGGCCTAAAAAGCGTCTCTGTTGGCTATGCAGGTCAGATCCTGCAGGTGGTCCGAGCGGCCAATGGAGCTCAATACATCATCCAGCCTCAGCAGCAGATGGTGTTGCAGCCGCAGGTCCTGCCCCAGATGCAGCCTGGAGGTGTACAGGCCCCCGTCATACAGCAGGTTTGTGCTTCGTACCCTTCCCAACACTGACTCATTTGTTCTAGTCCGGTCACTGGCTCCTGCAGGGTGTGTTGTGACGCCGTCTGCACATGTATATGTGTGACTTGTTTCACCGTGTCAGCAGAGGTCCTTATCATAGATGGCAAATGCAAGAGGCCTGTCAGCTCTCTTGTTTGTTTAAATGATAAATATCAGAAGTGATCGAGGACCGCTCACAGGAAGAGAACTGATGGTAGCAGAGCAGGTTTAGCTGTTGCAGTGTCTGATTTGTGAACTGTCGTAAGTTGTAAAAACCCATAATTTATAGAATAAAACGCAGCTTTGGTTGCCAAAGCTTTACCATCGAAAAAGTTGGTAATATTAAGTTTTACAAATGTATCTGTAACACTATTTATTTAACTCAACTTTTTTTGTATTAAATCTTTTTTTTTTTTTTTTTTTTTTTTTTTTTTGCTTGTGTGGTAATGTTGTATAATACTTTATTTACTTAAATATAATAAGCAGTTACGCGATTGGCCGTATTCACAATTATCACGTGTGTTGTGTTTATTCTGACTTATTCCACTCAGCTGATCCTCACACTGACCCTCAGTAAAAACTTGTTATATTATCATGTTTATCAAAATAGATCAAACTGATAAAAAAAGACCCACTTTATTTGCATTGATAGTATATAGGCTTATGTTGAGCTAGTACACATGGCTCAGGACATTTAACCATGGTATTAAGCAGTACATAAAGTATTTAATGAACAGTGTTTCTGTTCCTCCTTGAAAACATCTGTGTATTTGACAAATGTTGTATTAATCCACTTCATATATGATAAAGTACACAAACACCTTGTGAGAGTCACTACGGGAACCAGAAAGTTATCTCGCCTGTCGGTGGAAGCCTAGTAAAGTTCAGCTCAAACACGCCTAATGTCTCTCTCTCGCTCGCTTTTTCTTTTTTTTTTTTTTAATGCAGGTGTTGACTCCTCTTCAGGGAGGCCTTTCTCAGCAGACCGGAGTCATCATCCAACCACAGCAGATTGTCCTCACAGGAAATAAAGTACAGCAGAACACTCAGGTCAGCACAACCTCCGGGATGACACTGATGAACGTGTGAGGGAGTGTGTATTGAGAAGTCTTGTGTGTGTTTAGGTCATGCAGGCGGCAGCGATGGCGGTTCAGCAGGCACAGGGAGCTGCGCAGATACAGGCTCAGCCTCAAGCACAGCCGCCCCAACAACAACAACAACAACAGACACAGCAGCAACAGCCCTCGCAGCAGCAGCCTCCCATGATGCTCCAGGTGGACGGAGCAGGAGACACGTCCTCGGAAGAGGACGAAGAGGAGGAGGACGAGTATGATGAGGACGAGGATGAAGACAAGGAGAAAGATGGAGGCGAGGATGGCCAAGTGGAGGAGGTATGTGCTGGACAGAGCGCTTTTGGTCCTGATCCTAGACCAGTCTTGTTTTTTTGTTTGTTTGTTTTTTTGACCGTTCTGTCTTTTAATTCAGGAGCCGTTAAACAGTGGGGACGATGTCAGCGACGAGGAAGACCAGGAGCTGTTCGACACAGAGAACGTGGTGGTCTGCCAATATGACAAGGTTAGGATTTGTTACCTCTCTTGCTAGTTTGCAATTATCTTTTATTCCTGGCGTTAAAACCACGTGGAAAGACTCCAGAAAATAAATAGAATTATTTTTTAAACCCTTTTTTCAAAAGACCCAAAACCAGTGTTGTGTAAATGGCCACTTAATTATTTAACATAATTTTAGTGTTGTCACGATACTGGAATTTCTATCTTTGATACAATACCATGGAAAAAATATTGATGTTCGATACCTTTTTCGATCTTTTGGGTAGTTTTGTTGCAATAGCTTACACACAGCAATAAGCCATGAAAAAATAAATTTGGTAATGAGCTGTTTGAGGGGTGGTATGAGAGTGCCACTTATCAGTGCTTTTGGTGTGAGAAACCTGTGAGTGAGTAAAATTATGCGCAGTACCCACAAGTTGGACAGGTGTTAAATTAGCACATGTGCTATAAAATGCATCTGGTTCGTCCAATGTTTTTGTTATGTCCATTTTAAATAAATAAAAAAATACAAATAAAAAAAGCTCACGCTGAAATTCAGGACCTGTAACACCAACTCTATTCAACTGGAGCGAGTGAGGGGAGGCGGGTGTGTATCAAACTGTCAATTCGCCATCGGAAAGAAGAGTGAAAGACAAAGTACAGCTGGTTTTGGTGTATTGATACCGCAGAAAATGAGTATTGGAATGGTTTCCGATATTTCCATATCAAAATATCGTCAATTTTTTGACACCACATGATTTAATGAGTGAAATTAGACATTGCATAGGAAAAGGTGAATTAGAACTTTATCATACTACCATTAATGTATTAGTCACTGGCGTATTTACGTCTAGAAATCTTATGCAAAAAGAATAACGGGATTTTTGCAAGTGAAATTTGACATTGCTTAGGAAAGTTTTATTAAATTACCAGTAAATAAACAAATTACACCCGTTTTTTAATTGTTCAAACGATATTCATACAATATCTTTTGCTTCAGATCCACAGGAGTAAGAACAAATGGAAATTTCACCTGAAAGACGGGATCATGAATCTGAACGGGCGGGATTACGTGTTCTCCAAAGCCATTGGAGATGCGGAGTGGTAAAAATAGAGGAACAAAACCCAAAACTGTCTACACTTAAGGCAAGACACATCAAAACCTGAAACAATGTATCAGGGGATTCCCACTTCGGGGGGGCTGAAGAGTAACGTCCCACTGCTACTGTGCTGTTTGAGTGATATCTGCACAAAATAATGTGCCATCCAAGAGATTTCCCCCCTCCCCCCTTTTAAAGATGGCCCTTTTACCTGTAGAGTCCATAACTTCACTTTTAGAACAATATTCCTGCCCCTCAGATGTGTAAAAATATATTAGGCGCAGGGAGCCAATTGTAGCGCCTGGCGCTAACTTAAGTCGACTCGGGTGTGTTAAGACGGCCTTTTTGCTGCAACCGTACGTGTTTGTTGGTGATTTCCGTAGCTAGATCAGCCATCTGAATCCGGTGTAAAGCGAACGGTCCCGACACGAGGACCATTCCATCGCCATTCGCCACCTTATACAAACACTAAAACGAGCAACCAAGAACTGTGTTCCAGTAATTTCCTTTCATATTTCCGACGTTTTTAGACCTTTGTATGTTTAACAGCAGAGATACCAATGAAAACGGGCGAGTTAAGTGTAACGTTGTCGATCTCACTAAATTTGTTGACGTGTTTGTATGTCTGTCACGGATTTTTCTAACGCTGTACTCTGGCTAAAGATCTGCTCTGTCGGTATGATGCATGTTTTTGGGCAGTGCATCACGGAGCTTGCGTCGTCCCGCGTGTGTTTGTGTGCAATTATCGCGTTTGGTGTCAATGAAGTGCTCGGTCAGACCACCCTTCCTACTTTACGTGCGGTCAGGCTTCTTTTACACATTTGTAGTTCGTATTTATTCCTGAAGCTCAGGCAGCATCATAATTTGGGGGGATGAAACCGAACTGTGCTCTTAATGAAAGAAGTGCTCCTCTACTGAGGAGGATTTCAACCTGATTGTGTGCATTGTGGATCTTTTTTTTTTTTTTTTTTGTCCCTCCATTTTGTTTTATAGTATTTAGTGACCTTTTAAAGCCGTGCCCTAATACGGTCTGAGAAATGACAGATTGTGGCGTTCTGTGTCCATATGTTCAGCAGTTGCGAGTATTGGCATGTTTGTTGATAATGTTCATGCTAAGATTCTTCGATCAAATGGCTTGGACTACTTTGGGGCTTTTAAAAAGTATATATATTTTAGTGTAGTTCTCATCTTTACGCTCCTTGTTTGTGCCTTTCAGATTTATTTTAGATATCAGGTCTTGTCTAAAGGGGAAGAGCCTTTAACAAATCCATTGGCTTTGTGTTTCTAATGGTAAATAATGGATGCTCAGAACTACTGTCATGTGAGGGAACTTCATGTATCTTCATGTACTGTTTTACCAATCAAACTGCTCTGTCTCTGATTCTCATCTCTATGAAGGTTGTGTTATGTTAGTGGAGATCTTTAGTGTTTTATTATTTTTTTGCCTTTGCTGAACTTTATTAAAAGCACTATTAAAATTGACTCTCTTTGTTGAGTAACATTGGCCTTTTGCAACTTTGTCTCCTGCTGGTTGATGATGCCTTGAACTTTTTACTAAAGGCTTATAATGTACAGTGAATGATCACTGCACGTTATTTTAAAGTGTCTTAATAAATATATCTATATAATTTTAGATATTTTTCCACTTCAACTTTCCTTTGTCGTGTAGGTTGTGGATTATGGAAGGTAGCCAAATAATTTTAAACTGCTTTAGGTTTGGCTTCAAACCCTCACTTTACACAATCCAGTCGTCATTCCCGACACACACACACACACACATATAGACATACATATATATATATATATATATATATATATATATATATATATATACACACACACACATACATACACGCATGTATACATATATAGACACATACATACTTGCATATACACAATATATACACAAATATACATATATATATATATACACACACACACACACACACATATATATAGACACACACACATATGCATGCATGGATGCATACATACATAAATATATACTCGCACTATCCTGTAGGATTCTGTAAGGTTTCTTGTAATGTTTTGAGAGGTGTCATGCTCCCCAAGGCTGAATTTATTTGATCAAAAATATAGAAAGTGTAATATTGAGATTTATTCCTGTGATCAAAGCTGTATTTTCTGCTTCATTACTCCAGTATGTCCAGGAATGAAGCTTGATTTTTCTCTGTCTTTCTGGAGCAGATGATCTTCCTGAATGCATGTTGTGCTTTACTACAATGGTCCACTAGGGGGTGATATTTCCTATAAAACTAGTCTCACTGTAAAAACATTAAAAAAATTCCTGCCTTTCAAGTACAAACAACTTGGATGTTTACGGCATTTCACCTTAAATTACATTAAATGTTTAATCCTGTATAACTTATAAAAATACGTTTTTTTAGGCTTTTTTGAACACGTTATTACTACATCATATACTTTTTTTTTCCTACATCATATACTCTATCTATCTATCTATCTATCTATCTATCTATCTATCTATCTATCTATCTATCTATCTATCTATCTATCTATCTATCTATCTATCTATCTATCTATCTATCTAATAGATTAACACTCAGCTTTGCAACTGCAGCAATATTGATGATGATTGGTAGAGCAAAAGGTGAGTTTAAATACTTTATTTTACAAGTTAGAACAAACCATTGAAGGTGTAACCCTAAAAATTAAGAGTTTCTCTTTTGGCCTTTTGTAAATTTCGTCTTCTCATACCTACATTAACTTCCCTAGGCAGGTCATAAATGCTTCATCTGCAGTAAAACCTCACTCCATTTCAGTTCCACACCTCCCTTCTCCTGAATCAGCAGTTTTCTGCTGCAGGTCTACAGCGTTGCCACTGAGGTTGATTGAGCACCATATCAGCACACGTCTCTCACTCTCCCATGGGTCCTCTTTCCTCCATCACTTTGTCTGTAGCTCTTCCCTCGAATTTCCAACCGTGATCCATGTCCTTATACCTATAACTTCCTTCACCCCATCCATTCCCCTCCTCTGAGGTCACAATGCCACGCAAGTCTATACGTATATTCACCATCTGGGTTTATATGCCTCATCAATCTTAACACACACTCCATTAGGCTTCTAATGGAGAGTACAGATGTGTTGATGCCTCGGATTCATTTGAGTTTTACACCTACAACACCATCAGCAGATTATAATGTCTCCCACTCTCTTTAATATAGGTGTGTTTGAGGAAAGTACAGCGGTAGCCCTGAGCTTTTATATTTATCACTATTTACACCCACTATACAGCTCTTCAGTGTCCTTTGACACCCTGGCAGGTTGTTCACATGTATAGTGCTGTGTGTTCTTCCACGTGGACATCCTAGTCCAATCCTAGTTTACATTGAATACACATGTTACACAATGGTTATGCAATGGAGTGACTGGATGATTCAAACGGTAGCAGAAAGACAATAGTGGATTCAATACGGCAATGGTAATATTGGGATTCACTTGGGGATAGATACAGATTTACATTTGACAAACAATTTTAACTGCCCAGATAAAAGTCTCCTAAAATTGAAGGACCGTTAACTGGTAATTGATTCCTCTCTGACTGTAAATCTTTCAAATACATTCACCAAAAAGATTTGTTCAGTTACCTTGAAGTTGCATTATATAGATGCAGAGGTTACACTTTATTTTAAGGTGTCCTTGTCACAGTGCAATTATAGGCTTCATTTATTGAGTGATATTAACAACATATAGGTATAGGCCAACGTAAAATATGGTTTCCGATGCCAGCAACTGAGTTGTTTGCAGTTTTATATTTACAGTTAGTCTACTTGGTGAACTTTTGATGACGAATACCAGTCATTTCAATATGAGTCAATGAGAACCCAACACAAGCTTTGTGGGGTCTGTTCTAAGCAAAGAACAGAAAAGCTCTTCGCCCGCGAGTATATTGACGCCTAAATAATGAGATAATTATCATTTTTAAGTGCACAATCCCGTCAATTATTATTATTATCCATTACTTCAACATGTTTGAAGTAGTCTTTTTGTAATGGCTAGGTCCTTACATAAGGTTATGGGGTGTTTTTTTTTTTTTTTTAACATTGCATGTGCATGCTGCATATCACCTTGCTCTTTCCTGTCTCAAATGTTGCAGACAAGCCTGGGATACATGCATACATGCATGTGTGTGAGTGTGTTTTTGTAACAGTCGGCCTAACCACAGGGCCGCTGCCCATATCGTATCGTACTGTCTGTCTGATGTCAGTTTCTCCTCGTCTCATCTCTCCCGGTCTGAAGCAACCAGTGTCTTCCAGTTCTAAAATCCAGGATCAGTTTAGCTTTACTGCCTCGTTTCTCGGCCTCTAAGGCCATTAAACCCTCAAGGTCACTGGCCAGCATGTGAGCCAAGTCTGATCTTACAGTTACGGCGCAGATAGAGACGCCTTTTTATTCCACTACCAGTATTGATGTCCTCTCAGAAGAAACAAGAGAGAGGTCTAGAGCAGTCATTGCACTTTAGATGAAAATCAGGACAGCTTCCCCACTATCTTCGATCTGTCATCAACACCGTACACCATATCTCATCTGCGTTCGTCCTCGCATGAAATTCCAGATTTAGCAGATTAGTATGTGATTAGATTTCAGCTGCAGAAATTCACCAGATGTGACCGCACCTCAATGATCGACTAAACCAAGCAAAAAGCATTAGAGTGACGGCTGTGAATAAGTATTTCATTGGTTAAACCTATTGAACAAACGACTGAATGATTCAGTGTCTCGATTCTGAGCAAGATTCATCGTGATGCTGAATAACAGAAGCATGTTGTTCATTCATTTCAGATGCGGGGCAATCTTGTTCACAACCAGAGCTAAAGGTTGCTTTTAGTAATGATACAAATGCCCAGCAGTTGACAAAATGGTTGAATATTGATGCTTTGCTGTCCAATGCAGTCTTTTAGTAGACTTCTAGACCCAAACGTCTTTTATTAAAGGAAAGTAGAGCCAGACCGATATTATCGGCTGATATTAGGCATTTTCCAAACTATCGGTAGTTATCGGCAGTTATAATGGCCGATAAATGAATATTTCAAAAATAAAATAAAAACGAACTAAACGCGCTTGAAACATGTCATGAGTGTTGGAGTTGTATAGTTTGTCCACCAGAGGGCACTCTACACTGTTGGCAACACTCGTTGAGTTGGTCACGAGACTTACGTTGCTTGAATAACATTTAAACGTTCTCTTAACTCAAATGAGCATGACAAAATTTGTGACTATCATGTCCAGTTTTGCTGCTGTTAAATAAGCCGAGAGTGAAGCGGAATTAGCTAGTAATAGTTGCGTTACGTTGTTACAGTGTAGTTGACTGTCCTTTTAACTTTTGACGATGTGACTAAAGTATTTCTTTAATAGCGCGTGACCGTTATAGCAATGAGACGTATCATCTCTCCCTTGCCTGTTATATTGAAAATGTATGTTTTACAATTTGCTGTATGACGTTATCCATTGCTAAATTATGGCTTATCATAGACTAGCTAACCACAAAGCTAGCTAATGCAAATGCTAGCTCATGCTAATGCTAGCTCTCATCAGTCTGTTCTGTTGTGATAATAAAAGAAACGTTTCTTTTTAAAATGCATCATCATATCATTTTAGTTAAAACTCATAAATAACTACAAATAACTAATGTTAGGAAAATCTGTTAATGTTTTGTTGCGCGTTTCTGAAAAAAATAAAATAAAAAATATATTGGCCGATTTATCGGAATATCGGATTTTAAAACCAAAAAAAAAAATTTGTATCGGCTTCAAAATCCTTATCGGTCGGGCTCTAAAGGATAGAGGCTTTTTGTCTGATTCAAAACTCAATTAATTTGTTAATGATTATGTGAGAGAACAATTCACTCAGTAACTCGTAATACACTTAAAGGGATACTCCACTTTTTTTGAAAATACGCTCATTTTACAACTCCCCCAGAGTTAAACTGAGTTTTACCTTTTTTGAATCCATTCAGCCGAACTCCGGTTCTGGCGGTACCACTTTTAGCATAGCTTAGCATACATCATTGAAGTGAACAAGACCATTAGCATTTCTCCCAAAAAAAAAATTAACAAAGTGTTTTGATATTTTTCCTATTTAAAACTGGAATTTTCTATAGTTACATCGTGCACTAAGACAGACAGAAAATGTAAAGTTGTGATTTTCTAGGAACTATACTCTGGCCTGCTGCACTCATGGTACGGCAGTGAAGTTTCCTGATTATTACGCAAGAATGAGAGTATAGTTCCCTACATATCAGCCTAGAAAATCATAACTTTACATTTTCCGTCGGTCTTAATGCACTATGTAACTATAGAAGAGTCAAGTTTTAAATAGGAAAAATATTGAAACACTTTGGTAATTTTTTTTGGGAGAAATGCTAATGGTCTTGTGCACTTCAATGATGTGTGCTAAGCTACGCTAAAAGCGGTACCGCCAGAACCGGAGATAGGCTGAATGGGTTTAACTCTGGGGG